AGTGACAGACAAAAAAAAAAAAATAAATAAAAAAAAAAAAAACACATCATGGTAAAATTAATACCTTCTCAGCTTCGCATCGAAGCTAAAATTCCAACATAGTGAAGACGTGGCATAGTTGGGTCAAGTATAATGATATCTGACAGTGATTAAAATCACCATCATAAAAAACGCTAAGATGCAAATCTGTTTTTGTGTTTAATTTAAAAAATTGATCAATTATTCCAAAAGCCACAAGATCTCTTATTTCTTATTATATGAAGTATTTAGGAAAAAAAATTTGTATTCATCCATACATTTTTCAAAAAGTTATAGAAATTTAAGTTCAAAAGTAAAAACATGTTTAAATTAACAAATGTTACTATTCATAATTTATTGGGGTTTTTTAGCTTTCACGCGAAACTGAGATGGTATTAATTTGTGTGTTATTATTATTGTTTTTTTTTTGTTCTATTAATAGTTGAAAAAATAGCGGAAAACATAACAAAAGTAGTAAAATAGTTAAATAGTAAACTGTAAAATCAATATCTTCTCAACTTTGCGTTGGAGTTGAAATAAAAATATTATTTGTCATTTATGAATGTATGATTGCATGAACGAGAAATTAAAAAAATTAAAATATTTTATTAAATATATTAGAGAAATTTTATGTAAATGGTCCATAGTAAGTATAAAAATTTTTTTTTGAATATATTAGTTTAAGTGAAATTTAGGTTACACCTTAAAAATACAACGTATAATTAAAATAAATAATAATCACCCGATATAGTTCAATTATTGGTGTGTAACAACCATCCTGAAAAAAAATTATAAAGCAAAAATCACTCTAATATGATTGTATAGCAAATCATGGGCTTTTTTTAAAAAATAGTTTTAAGTATGCATAATTTTCAAAATATTAAATACTTTGTCAAAAAAATCGCTTTATTTGCAAATATTTAAAAAAAATAAAAGCATATGGTATTTTTACAAACATTTTTGAAAAAGTTATACCAATTTAAGTTTAAAAGTAGAAACATATTGAAATTAGTAGATTTTATCAATCATAACTCTTATGGCAGTTCGTGTTTAGACGTCGTACTGTCCACACGTTAATTGTCACGCGCTCCGCTTTTATCAGCTCTCGATAGCGTGTGTATTGTATCGAATTGTTATCGCTTCCAGCGCTCGTCGCGGTATTTGTACCGTCGGGTAATGTATAATTGTATAATTTACCTAAATATAAGACTCGCCGCGATCGGGACTAACGCCTTATCGCATTATACGCTTTATTGACCAACACGCGATACCTCTCTACGGTCCTAATCAGTGCCGTTACCTATAAAATGCCTAATAATACAAATAATAAAACTGTATCTCCACTCATTATCCAAAAGTCACGCATACAGAGCGTGTCAAATGATTCATCAGCTTTTTCATCAGAAACCAACTCCAACGACGATTGGAAAACTCAAAATAATCATAAACGTCAGTACTCACCTAATCAATCCCCGAAATTAACTAAACAATTCGTAACGCCAAATCGCTTTTCTCTATTCAGTCCACCAAACAATGATCAAAACAATGACTATTCTGAAAACAAAGATAACGACCCTAATAGAGACATTCTAGAACACTCAGAGAGTAAACCTCCTCCACCAATCTTTATTAATTTAGTAAATGACTTCAAATCATTTTGCTCTCAAATTAAATTATTAACAAAAGGCGAACCATTCACTTGTAAGAGCTCCACCAATGGAGTTAAACTCCTAACTACATCACCAAACTCGTACAGAGAAGTAATAAAATTTCTAAAATCCAGCAAAGCGGACTATCATACTTATCAATCAAAACAAGATCGAGCCTTTAGAATTGTTATCAGAAACCTACATCACACAATCCCTCTTGATGATATCAAAAAAGAGTTACTTGATCTCGGTCACATCGCTAGAAACGTAACAAACGTTCTACAATATAACACTAAGGTCCCGCTCCCATTATTCTTCGTAGATCTAGAACCAGCCATAAACAATAAAGATATCTTCAAAATCGAATTCCTATGCTACACTAAAATTAAAATAGAAGAACCTCGAGTTAAACGCCACATAGTCCAATGCCTTCGATGCCAAGAATACGGCCACACAAAAGCTTACTGCAATCATACACCCAAATGCGTTCGATGTGGCGAACATCACCTATCAGATTCCTGCCAAAAACCCACCGACCAACCCGCCAAGTGTGCGCTTTGTCAGGGTAACCACCCAGCAAACTATCGAGGCTGTCCCAAACATAAAGAAATTCAATCATCTCGTAATCCCAAGAAAACTCAAACAATTTCACATTCTCAACAAAATAATACAAATAATGTACAGCCCATTTATGTAAACACCACTTCAAATTCGTATTCTCAATCCAAATCATATGCTCAAGCAACCAAAGATCCGAATATCACTCCCCATACACCTATTGGTGATAACTCTGATCAAATTTCACTCAAACTAATGTCTTTCCTGGAAGACTTTAAATCATTGATTAATCCCTTAATCTCTTTACTAACCACTGTTATCACTAAACTCCTATCCCAATCAAATGCCAACTAGCTTAAATATCCAACAATCAATATCCATCCTCTTATGGAATGCCAATGGTCTAAACCAACAAAAAAATGAACTTAAAGCCTTCCTACAGCTCTCTCACGTTGATATTATCCTTATCAGTGAAGCACATCTTACCTCAAACTCCTCATTCAAACTTCCTGGATATATAACATACCACTGCGATCACCCAAGTGGAAACGCTCATGCAGGCTCAGCGATTATAATAAAATCAAACCTCAAACACTCTACTCTACCGTCTTACCAGAGCAACTCTATTCAAGCAACTAATATAAAAATAATCTTAAACCACATTCCAACGACTATTTCTTCTGCATACTTTCCTCCTCAAGCAAAACTTAACTCTAACGAACTTACGAACTTTCTTCTTTCCATTGGGAATAATTTTCTAATTGGTGGCGACTTTAACTGCAAACACACCTCATGGGGCTCTAGAATTATCAATACCAGAGGTCGTATACTACATAATGTCATACAAAATAAAAACCTAACTTTCCTCTCTCCCCCTAATCCTACATATTGGCCAACCCATCAAAATAGGCAGCCTGATATCTTAGATTTCTTCATAACCAACTTACCAAACCATATCAATCGAAATATCTCCAACCTAAGCGATCTTTCATCTGACCACACTCCAGTATTACTATCTCTAAATGATCACGTCACACTTAAAACAACTTATCCTACCCTGATCTCTGGAAAAATCAACTGGCAGATCTTCAGCGAGTCCGTAGAATCCCAAATCTCTCTAAATATATCACTTAAAAATCATTCTGATATTGATAACGCAGTACAATCTCTAACCGATATTATTAAAAATTCTGCAACAAGAGCCTCCAATACTCATTCCCCCAAAACTAAACAAGATAATCTCCCTCAACACTTATCTCAATTAATAAAAGAAAAGCGCCGTGCTCGAGCTAGATGGCAACGCACACACCTTCCAAGTGATAAATCCACCTACAATCGTCTCTCCTGCAACTTGAAAAATCTTCTATACAAATATAACACTGAATCATATCAACATTATATAAAGTCACTCACAAATAATAATAAGTCTTTATGGAAAGCAACTAAAAACATACTCAAGGAAAAAAAAGTATCACCCCCCTTACGCAATCCAAATAACACCCTAGCCATATCTAACTCCGAAAAAGCGAATTTATTTGCAACTCACCTTGCTAACAACTTCTGTCCCCACTCAGACATAAACAGTGTAGATCACACAAGACGTATTACCGAATCACTAGATACTCCTTGTCCCATGGCTCTCCCAACTAAACACACCTCCCCATCAGAAATTCTTTTTTTAATAAAAAAATTACAAAATAACAAGTCTCCCGGTCACGACCTAATCACTAATAAAATCATCAAACATCTACCAAAAAAAGCTATAATACAACTCACCTATATTTTTAACTCTATACTAAGATTATCATACATACCACAAACATGGAAACACTCAATTATAATTCTTATCCACAAACCTGGCAAACCTCCTGAATTACCTTCCTCGTACAGGCCAATTAGTCTACTCCCGTCCCTTTCTAAAATCCTTGAAAAAATCATACTAAAAAGAATATATCCTATAATAAACGAAAACAAAACAATTCCAAACACTCAATTTGGCTTTAAAAATAAACACTCCACACTGCACCAAATTCATAGATTAACAGACATCATCTCCTCATCCCTAGAAATCAAAAATCATTGTGAAGGAGTATTTCTTGATGTCGCACAGGCGTTCGACCGCGTGTGGACTGAAGGACTTCTTTATAAACTTCGATTTCTTCCAGCTCCCTTATACCTCACGTTAAAGTCATTCTTATCACAACGCACGTTTGCCGTACGTTGCGATGACGAAACATCCAACATTCATTCTATTAACGCAGGTATACCTCAAGGAAGCATCCTAGCCCCAACCCTCTATAATATATTTACCTCAGACATTCCACACTCAAATAATACACATCTCGCTACATTTGCAGACGACACTGCCATACTATCCTCCAATCCTGACTCTAATTCTGCAACAAAATCACTCCAAGATCATCTCAACAAACTCCAAACTTGGTTCAAATTATGGAGAATAAAAATTAATGAAGGAAAATCCTCCCACGTATCATTTACTCTCCGTTCCACCAATGGCCCTCCTTTATCGATAAATAACAACATAATTCCTCAACATGATTACACTAAATATTTAGGCATCCATTTAGACAAAAAACTAAATTGGGCCTACCACATAAAAAACAAACGAAAATCATTAAACCTACGTCTCCATTCTCTGAGACATCTTCTCCGTTCTAATATGCCACTTAATATAAAACTACTAATATACAAACAAATCATACGCCCAGCCATGACCTACGGTATTCAAATTTGGGGATCCGCGAAAAAATCAAATATCTCTATCCTTCAATCCTTTCAATCAATTAACCTAAGAATTATAACAGGAGCACCGTGGTATGTTAGTAACCAAACTCTCCACAAAGACCTAAAAATTCTAACACTTCCTGAACTTGCTTCTTGCTATTTTAAAAAATTCCACAGTGACACACAAAACCATCCTAACCCTCTAATATCTAATCTCCATAATCCCTCTAACCCTATTAACCCATTACGTCGACTCAAAAGAAACTGGGCTAGAGACCTTCTCTAACTCATTTTAGCACAAATTTAGTTTCACAATTTTAATTATTATTCTTTTATTTTGAAGTGGTGTCAATGGGCTCCTTCTTCATGCACGATATTCATGCGTTGTAACACATTGTTCAGTCATTTTTACTTATTGTATTATGTATACAGATTGTAATATTTTCTTAATAAAAAAAAAAATATTGAACTCTTATGGGGCTCTTTCTATAAGAAGTTGAAAAAGAAACAGATAACATAACAAAACGATAGCACAGTGGGGTCGAGGCACAGTGTGGACGAGGCATAGTTGGGTTCAAGTATAATGATATCTGACAGTAATTAAAATCNATGATATCTGACAGTGATTAAAATCACTATCATAAAAAACGCTTCGATGCAAATCTGTAGATAGTGTTTCATTTAGAGAAATTGGTGGATTATTCCAAAAGCAAAATCAACTCTTATTACTTTAATTATATCCGGATTAGTAGATCTTTGATTTTAAAATATAATATATGAATAAATACTAATTATAGTTATTAAATTTAGTATGAAATTGTGAGGC